GAGCCTTGCTGGAAGCTGGTGCTGACTTGAATGCGCGTAGTCACCGAGGTGACACATCATTGCTCTTGGCAGCCTCAAATGGCCACTTGCCCATGGTTCAAATGTTGCTTGAGGCTGGTAGTCAGGTTCATACTGCGGCGGTCAATGGTGCAACACCATTGTTTGTGGCAGCTCAGAATGGTCACTCGGAAGTGGTGCAAGCTTTGCTGGAAGCTGGCGCTGAAGTGGATGCTCAGAACACAGACGGCACCACAGCTTCGGTTGTAGCTGCCATGCGGGGCCACTTGGATGTGTTGCAAAGGTTGCTTGATGCTCGTGGTGATGTTGATTCTGCAAGACACTACCTAACACCTCTCCAGATGGCCAGTTTGAATGATCACCATGAAGGGCGGGTGCCCAGCGAAGATGGTTGAAGCATCACCTTCTCGTTCTTTCTGACTTCAGCCGTCCAGGGGAACCGGACAGACAGAGATGCTGAGCCACCCCATGGCGACACACTGTGCGCAGCCCTGCTCGTCGTGCGCCAACCAGACTCAGACGGTCCGACAACCGGATCGTTTCACCAATGTGAGTCACCCAGAAAACGGTGTGGCTTCTTGATATTCAATTAAAGATGTCGGGGGAAGATGGAGATCAACACCACAACGTCGGAGTCTTCATGAAACATTAGAACCGCCAAGTACTTTAGGAACATGGAGCCAAAGCATCAAAGTTTTTTTTCTGGTGGTTCGCACCCGTTTCTTGGGTAGTTTGGGAGGTCCAGGAACAATCCTCTATAGTTATACGTGCAGCTTTGCACCTGAAGGTTGAGCTTGCAAACACGGAACGTACTTCGTATCTTCTTGTTGTTCGTCCACACAAGACGAGCGCGATCCTCGGATGCGTCGGCGCGGCGGGGTGGCCATTGGCGATGTCGAAAGAAGTCTGTCCCTAGCCGCCAGCCCACCGCTTTTGGGATGCTTGGCTTTAGCTCTCCAAGTTTGTATAGACCTTGTAGACCCTAGGCCTCCAGTCCTACCTTCTGAGAAGGTGGGACTGGGGGTCCGGGTGCTAGGAGGGTCCAGTCATACCGAACCTGAGGAGGCCCTATAGGGTGTATCAGTTCATGTCTCATAGTCGTACATGGAGTGTCGCCGCAAGACTGGGAACCCCAAAAAAAAACCGTGGGTCGACCACGTGACATGGGTGCACTCCAACTCAGATCTATCAAATGCTCCGTAAAGGAACATCCTCATCCATTCCGTCCATTCCATCCACCGTGAGTGCCTTCGTGATGCCTTCGTCGGGTCGTCTGTTCGGTCTCAGCCCGGAGGAGTTGGTCCTCGGAGCGGCCCGAAGACACGAAGGTACCCTGTACACCTTTCACACAGTGAGAATGACTCTTCGGCTGTCAGGGATACAAAATCCCTTTGTTGAAACAATGGAATTTTGTTGGTTGAACATGTCCAAAGGCTTCGCAGCAGGTACTTTGACCCTCCAAACCAATCCGAACACACCTTCGAAGGAGGTACTTGGAGCCCTAGGGTACACAACTTGCTAGGGGGACAGAGGTTTTTGTGCGATTAAAGCACCAACTACTCTCAAGTTCAACCAATCCTACACCAGCCAAGATACCTCAAATCATCAGTCAGTCTGCAAATGCTGGTGTACCTTGTATCCTTCAAGAAGTTGGATCCCATCAAGAGCTCCAATAAGAGTATGCCACCGTCCTCGCAAATCCATCCACCAGACTGAAAGTTCCACGTCCACACGAGAAACCTATCTTCGCCTGGACAGGCGCTGCGAAGGAGGTGGAAAGGAAGCAGAAGATGAACAAAGAAGGCCTAGGGAAGTTCGGAAAAGGGGAGAAAGGTGGAACACAGTTCAGACCTTTGTTCAGAAAAGGTGGACTGTTGGGTCTAAAGCAGCTTGTTTGTTGTCAAGGTTTGCTTAAGTCATTGAATCTTGAAGGAAGAATCGGACGAGTTCATTGGAAAGGAGATCCAGAGTTTTGTAGCTTCAGGAGAACTCTTCCATCGGCAGTATCGCTCCAATAACTTGGATTGGTGTTGACATTGTGTTGACTGTCGTTGAATGTCGTATGTACGTTGACTGACTGGTGTTGAGCGTGCCTTCATGTGACCTTGACTGACTGGCGTAGAACCAGAAATCCCCCCAAACACATCCCATTCCCTTCCTTTCCCCTTTTCAGATCTCCAAAGACTCCGGTGAAGGCTGAAGACCGCAGTTGTCCCACTTCTCCAGGCCATTTGAACTGTGAGACCCTGTCCTTCCGCCGGAAGAAGACCCCGACCGCGCCGGCCGCGCCGGCCGCGGGGCCGCGGGGAGTTCGGGGAGTTTGGCGCTTGGTGAGTGGGCAGTCGGGGGGCAGTCGGGCGATGGAAGAGCTTGAGTATAGGAGGGGATCAAAGGGGAAAGTCCATGCTGACTGGTTTACTTTTGATTAACTTTTGATCCGACTTGGTCTGCATTCTTGTTGTTTTTTGCAGAGTTTGCGAAGTTTGCAAGGGAGAATCAACATTAGAAAAGCACAGAGCCGCCCTGCAAAAGGAACGGAATCTTCCCACAAGCATTTGGGACCTTGGACAATTCAGCCTCAGACTGACCTTATCTATACTTGATGTTCATCGTTCATTTGAGTATCTTCAGATGGGCACCTTTCCTTTTCAACAACAGGATTTAAATTTAGATGCTAAACAAGTGGGTGTGTGTTACAATAGGGAGACCTCCAAAAGACCTCCTGGAAGAAGGGACATATATAGATCAAAATCCCTTTGGTTGCGTGGTCCACTAATTATCAACATACACATCCAAGTGCGCCTGAAAAGTCCTTGCTTTAGGCACTCGGGCGACAACTGGAGAGGTTCAGTCGCAAGAAGATCCGGTGATTCGCGACGGTGTTTTGGATATTCCACATCTTCCCGGGATGAATCTAGGCAGTCAGGGTGACCGGGGGTGACCGGGGGCAGGAACACACACTAGTGGATGTTTGGTATTTGTTTATCATCGCCAGGAGACAAACCTGAACAGCAAGGTTCTTTGGGGGGGGAAGTCCACTCTCTTCCAAACGAAACATCAATCTTCTTCAATGACCTCCGACCAATATCCTCCAATATCCGTTGAATGGAGAGAAAACAGACCCATGATGACCAGATCCTCTGAATCTCTTGGTTCCAGATGTTCCAGGAGTCACAGGTCGGGGTGGTGTGGCACCTCCCCTTACGTGAGTGGATGTGACCAGGGCACCCCGAGTACCTCCATGGATCGCACTCCTTTGTGACTGCTGGTTGAGCAACCTGAACCACGCAGCTTCCGCCCACTCGCGGAACACCGCCGAGGCAGCTGCTTCCGTCGGTCCAGCGCGAAGCGCGCCGGACGCTCAATGCCAGCGTTTGGCGCGCGACTGCATCGCCTTCGCCGTGGCCAAGGCACGGTAGACTGACCGGCGAACGCGGGCCGCGTGGCTTGGGGAATCCGAGCACCCAACTGAACACTGGGCCCCCAGGCCCATCGGTCGCTGCCCAGCTTGTCCCAATGAAAGAAACATATTCACCACATGGACCTGAAGGGGCTCCCTGACATGGACCTGCATCGAAATCCCAGTGGAGCTCGGAGTCTGTGGATCCAAGCTTCTTTTGGTGAGGGCAAGAGAGAAATCACCGAGAACTCCTGCAAAATTTGCGAGGTTCTTTCTGTGATGTTTGCCGAGCTTTTTTCTCTGATTTAAATCATGTCAAGATCCAAGGACAACTATATATATACCTGGTTCTTCAGGACTCGTGACCGAACTTGGGCACTCCCAGTTGGTTCGGTCACCTGGGCACTCCAAAGAAGTCACGAACTGAAGAAGTTGGTAGGCCATGCCACTCCATGCTACTCCAGGCCACTGGCTGGACAGGTAGGCCGATGACTGGTGATGACTGGATAGGCCATCCAGTGGCACAGATATCTACAGATTACGTTTTTTTTGTTACATCTGTTGGTGCCTCAGGTACTATAACAGCTTCTTGTCAGCAATCAACTGGCCTTGCGGGGCAGTTCTGACTCTTCGACATGTCCTCAGCTTTGGACACACGTGTCCAGGCCTGCAAGGCAGAAGTGACCGAAGTTCCTCCTCGCTGCTGGGAACGAGGTGGGTGACCCATATTACTTTGTGAGATGACAGGTGTTGGGAAGAGCAGGAAGACAGAATAAAGACACATGTTGCTGTCTCTGGCCTTTGGCACCACCTCTGAGATAAATACCAGAGATATGATTGAAGGAGCACTTTTTCTGCGCTGGCGGAAAACGACGAGGACGATGTTCGTTTCTGAACGATTGTTCGGCTGTGGATTCTTATGACGAAGCGGGAGTTCGGAGTTCCGTTTGGCCAAGATGGTTCTCAAATCCGGTTGGAACAGGGTGGTTTTGGAGCTTCTTATGGTTCGACAAGCACGAAGCTGGAGTGCTTTTCGACCAAGCCCAGAGCCATGGTCTGGACTTTCACTCACTGTCACGCTATACAGTCCGTCGTAGGCCAGGACATGTACAGTTCCAAGACCATCCATGCGAATTGACCCTTGAAATCAACCACCCCAACTGATTGGTATATCCCTAGGGCTCCAACCAGCTCCGTTTCGAAGATGGTTGGGGTGGGTGCCAGGAGGGTCTAACCACCTTCTGACGATATGGGACAGGAGCCAGATGGTCATAGATGTATAGTTTGTACAGTTGGATGAGAAGCGCTAGTCGTTTCTTGATGTTGACCACAGGGACACGTGGTTTTGTTTCAATTCATTCCTGGCGAAGCCGTTTCAGCCCAAGCGAGTACGTAGCCGTGAAGCTGCTTCGGCGAGGACGTAGCCGCACAGGAGGAATCCAAGCACCTTTCCAAGTGATTTGCATGTGATCAAAGATGATTCCCTCATGGCATCATGCACTGAAATCTGAGATTCATCTATAGACGAGTCATATGATGAGGAAAAGAGGCAACTCTTGGATAATTAATTGCCGACAAAACCCTGGAATTCTCAGTCTTCCCTCTGTTGGCTCGCGTCCTTGCGCGCGTGCCAATCGGGGGGGGGTCTTTTGCGCCGACGATGGCAGCAGTGGCGCCTTGCGCATACTATGGCCATGGACAGGGCTGTGGTGCCTCGGCTATTGCTTATTTTGGTGATTCTTATGACAGACGTATGGAGGTTTGAAGCTTTTGTACAAGGCCATAGAATATCATCCATATTCAGATTAATTAAGTATTGCTGCATTGGAGAAGGATATGGAATATCATCCATATTGCATATATTCAAGACTCTGAAGATCTTGTAACATCCTTGATGTTGTTTGGGGATTTGTGGATAGATTCAATGAAGGAATCCACAAAGACTGTTGTTCCAAAAGATGTTGGCTTTTTCCGGCTCTCAAATTGGTCAGCTGCTCCCTGAGGTTGTCAGATGCATCATATGCAAGCTTTCAATGCCTTCGGCCAGGGGATGCAGATGCCGATGCCGGGGTATCTTGGGGTCAAGAACGAAGACACGGATGGGTGTGGATGGTGTGGATACGAATAGGGAGAACCCCCCCAACGACCTGCTAGAAAGAGATAAAATATGGTAAAATCATACAAAATCCACTATAAAGCATCTAAAAACCCACGTGTCAGGACTTTAACTCCATCGCACAGCTGAGGGTGGCCATGGTGTACTTGGATGTGCGAGAAACCGACAAAATCCGTCGAAAGCCTCATCGCCTGGGGGCTATCTTCCCATCGAAATACCAGCTATATGGATCCGCTATCAGCTGAAAAGGTATTTGCATCCGCCAGTCACTGAACATGCGCCCAGTCCGTCCCACCTGTTAGAGCTCGGGTATGGCAGTTTTCCAACGAAGGGGGGACGGCGACGAGCAGGGAGGACCCAGATCTCATCGGACCATGTGACGATACGTGGTTGGTCGGAGGGTTGCGGACCTTGTGCATGACGCTCGTGCAGTCCACGTGCATCGTCCAATGACGGTGCACCGTTTGGTCCATGGGACTGGACGTCATTTACTCCCGATTTACAGACGAACCCCAACAACCACTGGGCGCCCTAGAGAAAAATGGTCGTTTGTTTACGGGTGAATTCTCCAATTCCATGTTAGTTTGCGGGGGGGGGGAACTACAATTGACCCCTCTGACACCACCCCTGGCCTGATCGGTAAATATTCGAGTCCCATGGCATCTCAACTCTTGTGGTCCCCCCCCCATTGGGCTCACGACTGCTTGGTCGGCGGACGGTCACCGCCCAACATCGTGATTGTAGAAACTTGTTGCTGTTTTCAAGTGTTTTCATGTTCAGACAATTCATGGTAGATGCCATGGTTTTTGGGTCACCACATCTCAATTGAGAGAGAAAGACATTTAATTAGGTTTTTCAGGCGATTTTAAATAAGAATCAAGGACCCTCAAAGGTGAAGGTATTGAGGGTCCAAACCCCGGCTATGCAGGGTCAAATCCCTCCAGTTCGGAGGGTCCAATGATGGTTAGGGTAAAACCTGTTCTTTGGTTTTCCTCGCTTTAAGGTCTCCACCACAAGATCTGAGCTATCGCCTGCGACGCTTGCTGCTGGAGCTGAAGCCGCTGGAGGAGAAGCAGTGGGAAGCGCAGCAGTTGGTGCAGCAGATGCCCATGGAGCCACTCGCCCCGCGAAGCTGAGCAACGCTTCGCAAAACCGGCAGAAACCGAGTCCATCACCCTGAGGACATCATATATATATATATTATATGAACTCATATCCGAGACATTCCATGGTTGATTTCAAAGGGTGAATGTATGGGCAAAGAAATTCCCGTCCCATTTCTATCGTCATGTTGGGTAATGTAGACTCTTTTCGGACCATAAACCCCCCCCGCGTAATGACAAAGAGGATGTTGATTTGGGGGGATGTAATATGTCCTCAAGAGTCGTCGACCCGGTCCAGGGACCATCCGTTAGGACCACTACATGTCCTGAAAGACCCCCCAGGCAACGACCATTCTCTGGTTTCGTACGTACGGAAATGCCGAACACCGACCCCTCATCTCACAGCGCCAGACCGGGTGCTGTTCGGTGCTCCAAGCCCGGTGCCTCCAGTGTCGCACCCACACTGGGACCCGGTCCTGACCTACTGACCTGGGGGATCGGCTGCAACAGCCCGGCCTAGAGTCATCCCTGCCACCAACTGTTTGGAATCCGAAATGAAAATCAACTGGACCTGAGCCGTTCGTGACCTCTGACTGGAGTCTCTGTTTGTGACCTCTAAACAGGGACTAGATTCGTGACCTCATTCTAGGATCTCAACAGGTCCTGGTGGACGTCGTTTGGTGTTTCTTCTTCATGACTGCCCCACTTCCACTTCTGATGACCGAAACACACATTTATGCCGCGTCACACGTTTATGCCGGCGGCGGTCAGTGGCTCCGTGAGGCAAGTTGGTCCTTGTGTCAAAGCCATCTTGGATCAACCAGTTTCTTGGACGGATCGGAGTGGAGTCGACCCGAGTCGACCCGGAACTCGTACCTCGGAGTCGATCTGTGGCCCCAGTCCTAGCTGTTTTTGTGTCGGGGGCTCAGAGACGTCCCATTGGCGGTACGAACGAAGTCGGGTCGAAGTCTTTACGGTCGACCCCAAAGAGGGGACTGAAAGGGCCATATCTATATGGCTGTGGGTCATGGCACCGTCCCCAAAAAGTGGGCGCCAGTCGGGATCATGGTGCGTCCACCAACCAGCTTCCTTTGGGGATCCTGTCGTACCTTCTCAGCAGGTGATGTGTTCGACACTGAGACATGAGACGGTGCCACAGTCGTACCGAACCTGAGGTGAAGGTACGTCTGGATCCCTAGGGTTCCTATACCTACCCAGGTCAGCTTGTTTCGCATCGCTGGACCTGGGTCGGTCACCGTCACGACTCGACCGGACCGGAGGACTGGAGGAGGTGACCTCCTTCGGGGTCTTCGGGTCTTAGGGATCCACTGCTACTGCTATATCGGTGGCAAGTCACGTCGGGTCCAGTCGTACCGAACCTTCGGTATGACTGGAATCCTTTTCGGGATTCTTCATGAGATTCAGTTGGGCTGGGTTGATGCTGGGAGTTGTGCCCAAAAGTCGCCCTCCCTCCGGCCCCCCGGAATCCAAGCGCTCGTTGGGGCGAAACGGAGATGGATTCGCCGAGAGAATCGAAACCTAGGTGCCCTTGCGCTGGATGCAAGTGCTCACCATACAAATGCTTGGAGAGCTTCTGCGACTGCACCCTGCGGTCGTGACGTCCAAGTTCACTCAAGCAAATGTGTCACTCAGATTCTTTCAGATGATGTTGTTCGATTTTTTTGGAATGTGTTCTCTCCACTCTGCGCGTTTTGATGTTAGGGATATATGGATATACTTAGTTGTCATGAAGAGAGAGAGAGAGAGAGATACGCTAGTGAATCTCTATTCCATTCAGAAAATCTGAAAACATGTTTGTGGGTATCCACGAAATCCAAACTCTAGTATCCGGACTGTTCATTTCCATGCCAAAATCTCTTTCCGAACTGCTTACTACCCAAGGTCATGGCTCTTTCCTGAGAATGGAGATGTGGATGCCGCAGCAGCTTTCCTTCGGAATCTGCTCTGGGCGAAAGAAGCATCGGGCCAGAGTACGGCCAGTGAGGCCTCCAAATTAGCAAGGCTTCTAATGAAGCGAACACAACAAAAGGACCAGGGTTGAACATCGGTGTGGGAGAAACATAGAAAGTTCATGCTTGGGTACAAATGAACTCTCAAAATAACAGTCACTTCTATGTTTCTTCGTTTTTTTTTGTGGAAAACGACCCTGGAGTCAGGACTTATGCAAAGTGCCCTGCAATGGCTGAAGAAGTGTCTTTTTTGTTTTTTGTGTGTGTTTCTTCATTATGCATTGTTTCATGTTGCTTCCATTGTATAATAAGATTGACTTTCCTAGTGCAAATTACCCAACTCCACATGTTCATCACTTTCATGAGGTTTATTATCAGGGTTTGAGTGACCAGGGGACTCACTTGTGACTCACTTGATTTGACCGGAGTTTGAGTGTCCAGACACCAAACATCTCCCAGGTGCCCAGTTGTTCTGCACGAGCTTGGCTGGCGCAGATTTGGAAGGATGTGCCATCCACCCGGCCGAACCGCGACGTGTTGATCAGCTGCAATGTGCGCTGGGTGGCCGACCCCTATGAGAGCTTGGAAGGAAAAGCTCCGTGTTTGGAGATCCTTCGGGAAGTTCTGCAGAAAGGAGGAAGCTCTGAAATGGACGCCTGACATTGCATGGTGAAGATGTTTTTCGATTGATTTGTGGTGGAAGTCTCTTTAAGGTATTTGTTCATGTGTTTTACACTCCCTGGAGACATGGAAGTGCCCCTTTGAAGACCATTTTCCTTTACAACCAAGGGGTTTCCACTTCCATGTTAATTCCAGGGAGGGTAACATGTTGTAACATTTGGTGCATGGTGTTTGTCCCTGACTGTACCTGACGGAAACCGTTTTCAGCCACTAGAAGGTCGGATAATATCAGAACTTGGTTATGTTCCAAAAGGTATATATCTCACTTGACTACAGACATTCTATGTATCTCCGGCGTTTATTGGCCAAGTCCGCCCACCTGGTCCGGGCCCACCACCTCCAGCCGTCGGCCGGTTCGGCCGCTTGGCGCGCGCAGCTCAGGAGATTTTTCTGATCTCCTTGATCTTCCAGGAGGTGTGTCGCGAACCCATGCAACACTCACCGGACCTTCAGCAACTCTTGTGCCGCGGATCGCACGGAAGGTTGTCTGACGGTCAGACCGGAAGTCTCGGACTTGGACGAATCCGTGGGCTCGGTCAGACGCAAGCTCTGCGGGTCATATAGGTCTACTAGGTCTAGGTGAAAGAGTCTAAGAGGCAGGGCAGAAGCTTGGCAAAACAGGCAGTTCTAGGTGAAACCGCACTTGAACTCCAACCAACGAGTGTTTTCCTTCAACAAAAAAATGCGACCCCCTACAATGCTCTAATGTCTCAGCCTCCGAAAAAAGAATGTTCCTGGAAACCCAGTCCCAACCACCTCTGTAAATGGATCTCCAGCAATCTATAGATTGGCTTACCAACCATGCACTATTTCTGCTTGGGACTCGGTGTCCAGGTTAATCCTTGTTGTTCCACATACAGAAACCATGTCGACTTGGTTAGGCCAAAGCAGGTTTTTGATGAGGCCCCTGGGTGTCCTCAGGATCCCGTCCTCCTCCACGCCGCCGGGCCTCGCCACGACCCAGGTGGTTCTTACCGGGTCCTCCCAGCCCATCGACGCTGCGCGCGTTGCTGAAAGGGCTTTCTGAGGATGGAGGCTATTTGATGAGCCTTTGGGCATGCTTCTGAGCCTGAAGTCAGCCGCTCCAGATGGGTAGGGTGAAACTGAAAGGTGTCTGAACACCAGAAGATCAGATGATCACACCATGGACCTGGAGGCTGGAGGTTCGCCGGTTACCCGAGAAGAGCATGAAGAGAGTTCGGTTGACCTGGTTTTGCCTATAGAAGCCTTGGTAAAATAGATTTTTAACTATTGTTGTGTGTTCCCATGTGCTCCCTAATTGTGGCTTCAACCATATTCTCAGCAGGTGGCCTGAACCACCTTCGAAACGGAGGTAGGCCAGGAGCCCTAGGGGTTTGACCATTCAAACATATTCAAACCATGGTGGGCGACCGGAATTGCAGGCTGTGTAGGGTCCATAATGGTCCATATGCCAGTCTTTGACGTACTATTGAGGGGTCTCGCAAGAGATATTCTTTGGAAAGGAGGTTGGTCTGACCAGAGAACTTGTTGATGCAGTTGATGAACAATGTTCTTCGCCGGATCTGGTTGGACCCAGCCCTCCAATGGCCAATCAAAGAACTTGGTCCATATTTGTTGCCACTGGCACTGAATAAGATGTTTTGGGCCTCTGGAGAATAGGTAACTACTATACTCTCCTGTCCTGTCCTGTACTGTACATCACTGTACTATATAATAGGGTCTATTACAAACCAGTGGTGGCTTCTGGGGAAGATGGCTCAGTTCGATCGCTTTCCCTCCCAAATGAGTGGCGGAGGCTAAGGACCTCTCCCGTTCGCAGAAGGTATCCTCTGAAGCTTAAACCAATGGCAGCGTATCCCATGGACATCTAGAGGAAGGGAAAGGAAATTGTCTTCCATCCACGTATCCATATGATGTGTTCGTCAGAGTGTCTTTGGCAGGCGCTGGTCACTGGTCGCCTCATCATCTCAACTGAGGCTTGTGTCACTGGTCGCCTCAGGGACCTTCAATGGCAGCACCAGCTTGGAACCATCCTGGACCTCCATTGCATCTGGCGCTTGTTGGACAGCCTTTTTCACACACTTCTTTGGTGTATGGCTGGATTTATTGTCATCCTGGAGCAAAAATAATGTGGGAAATTGCCAAGAAATTAGTGAACACATGAGTGGACACATCATGGTCGTGTTTTCGATGGATTCATATTCTGTCCACTCCAGAACGGTTGTAGTGTTAGTTAATTGAAGATGGCTCATGGATGAGCCCAGCAAACAACTAAGAAACTTCAATTACAGTACAATAGTTTCTGTACTTTAAACTTTAAAGAAATCAGGAATGTAGTACAATAGTTTATGTAGTAAAAATAGTTTCTGCACCAAGAAAGTTGTTTCCGGAAGGTTTCAGGACTTGTCGGTGACTCTTCCAATCATTTCCGATGTCACTGACCAACTGCACAAAAGAATTCTCAGCAACTTGACAAAGAACCAACGTTGCGCCGAATCACAAAGATTCACTTTTCGAACACGGTTCAGGCTCTCCCGGCCAGGACGCTCCCGTGAATCGGCTCAGACGATTCGCATGATTTCACACCTGTTTCAAGTTGCCTCCCGTTTGGGGCTCAGGTATGCGCTGCTCCGTGCCATGCTCGTGGCCTTTGCACAACTCCCGGACAGCAAGCGCCTGTGTCGCTCAGCACTGGTGTCGTTGGCGGCCTTGGGCACCAGCAATTCGAAGATAGCAAGCCAAGTACCAGCATCTTGGATGAGTGAAGCCTGTTGAGCACGGTTAGCAAGATCAACCTACCAGCAACCTACCCAGGCTCCGGCTTTGGCCTCCTGCGACCGGTCCTCTTTTGGGTGACCCCAGCCGCCCTGCCGGGTAACCATCACGTCGGTCGCCCCGAAGGTCCGGTCCGAAAGCGACCGCGGAACCAGTCCTGGGATCCCAGATGGAACCAAGAGAGGTTGAACAGCCTGATATATAGCTCATCCCATATGTACCACAGACCAGGGTCCGAACGTTCAGGTCTCTCAACCTGGACTGGGGATGTTCTGAAAAGCACCGGAGGTTGGAGAAGAACCATCCGCCTGGTCATTGCTGAAGCTATTGATGAAGCTGTTGAATGAGAAGCCGTTTTCTCCGGTCTCTCCATGTCGGTTCAGCTGAGGCTTTGCTTTTGATGCTCTATCGTGAAGGTCCAGTTCTTCCATCTGAAGTTTGGATGCCCTTGGTGCCTCTCTTGGGCTACTTATCTGAATACTCTCCCCAGGCCGCCGAACTGAGTGGGCGCTTGCAAGCCTTGGCGAGTGGTGGCTTTTATGCCTCTGCGCCACAGATGCCGCCACCAATGGCGCAGATGGCGCAGATGGGCGCATTCAACACGGCACCAGTGCCCAACCATCAGTACTATCAATCCCAGATGGGCTACGGAGGTCAAGCTCAAGCATGGCCCCAGAACCAGGCCATGCCGATGCAGGGCTCTATGCAGATGCAGGGCTCCATGCAGCCGTTAGCCACAGGGACACAGTTCATGACACTGCCACCAGACAGATCCAAAGCGGTGACGAACAAACCACCCAGCGTCCTGGGCGTGAACAGAAGCTGATTCTTTTGGGATTATGTTGTTGTTTTTTTGGACAGGTGAATCATGGTGAATCATTCTTTTCCAGGGGAATTGAGAGAGTCAGATACACCCAACCCGTTGGATGTTGATGTTGCTACTGTTACAAGACCGTTCGTTTACGTACTCTTGACTCTTGGTCGACAAGGACCATCCCACTGCGCATTTCTCTCCTGGTTCATCCAGCCAAGGGTGAACTTGTTTATCTCAAGTGTCGGACTGCAACCAAGGTGTTGGACTGCAAAACACAAACAATACTTGCTACATGAACAGTTTCGTCCAAGCACTCTTCATGACTGATGCCTTTATATGGCGCATCTATAACTTCTCCTTGAAACTCAAGGACAGGGCGATGTTCGGACGTTCGAAGAAACACCAAACGGATCAGTCGAATTTGGAAACACCTCTCTCTCTCTCTCTTTTTTGTTTCAAGGGTTGGTGTTGAATCAGGAGAATGCATCGAAGATGGACAAAGAGGATTACGAGTTTGGCAAGAAAGTGGTCGAGCTCCTGCAAAGGCAGTTCGCCAAGATGGCACTGACCAAGCACAAGCATACTGACATTTGGGACCCTGAGCTGTCGCATATCGGTATGTGTTGGAGATTGGTGTTGGGGTGTTGGGTGAGGTGTATCAGAAAGATCTGGATCATTACCCTTCTCTAGCAGGTGGTTAAGAGATTAGTTTGGAGGAACAAACTCAACGTTCATAAGGGGTGAGATACTTAGACTTGGCAGGCCATTTGGGTGTGTATTAAAAATTTCAATTAATATACAGTATATAGGGAGACCTCCCTCCCAACGACCACCTGGAAGAATGAAAATAGACCAAAACCCATGGGTTCATTGGTTGGGGATCATCTCCCTATTTAAAATTCACACGACGCACGCATGTCTTTTTTCAAGCTAGGCAGCTACTGTAGTCCAGTGGTTTCCTTGCACTTGAGTCGACCAAAGCGGATAGCTGTGGCTTCTGTCAACTCACGAAAGGATAGTTCCACATACCTGCATCCTTGACTTCAAGTCTTGTAGAAAATGGGACAAGACCCTTAAATAAAAACAGGTGCTTGTACCCATTTTCTGAGGTACGAAAGGTTGACTCCATCAATAGTTCCTCATCGTCCCCAAAAAAGGGGTGTCTCCGCGCACCGATCTCTCGCCTCACGCCGGGGCCTTTTCTGTTTTCTTCACGTTCGCAGGACATTCTACAGGCTTTCCCTGCAGATTACCGATCGGGAGAGCAGCAGGATGTCACCGAGACCATCCGTTTCGTCTTCGACAAGCTGGGTGGCAGTGACCAACTCCTGTTGAAGGAGGTCTTCGCTGGACAGCTGCAAGCAGCTCAGCTTAAGAAGAAACAGCTGCGTAATTAAGAAATGGTTGATCCATCTGGGTGGAAAGGTGAGGATACAGTTTTTCACCACAATGTGTATAAAAAGATGTGTAATCAAGGTCAAGCGATGCATGTAATACTAAATATATTTGTAATGTGTATCATCACCAGGATTCTTGTATATCCTTGTGTCAGATGTGTGAAGAACGCTGGTGAAATCCGAAGAACGGGTGCCGTGACCGGCCTCCTTGGAGGGTCCAGGAGTCCGGTCTGTTCGTTTCTCCAAAAGGAAAACCGTTGGTTAGACAGAGGGTGCTAAGCCTCTAGAGGTTGCTACTTATCTGATCCAGGAGTCCAGTGCTTATCTGAATCAGATAGGTAGCACCGGAGGTCCAAACATTCTTTAATCCGATGAGAAGACGGAGCTGGTTTCTGGTTTCGCACGAAAGAAGTCCAGGAAGCTAGTCCACTAGCCCCAAACATAGCAATCATAATATATAATCATTAGGAAAAATATGGTTTGTATATGAAGGCGACTTTGAGATGCTTCCATACGGTCCCGCAAAGAAACAAAAGTAACACACCTTGGACCGACGGCCAATCATTCCGCTCCACTCGGTCCTGGTCGGGGATGTTCGACTCGGCCAACTCGGCAGCCGGGCGAGCGATCACCGACTCGGCGCGAGCGGACGCGGCGGAGGAGAAGATCCAATGCAAAGTGTGCGGGAATGTGAAGGTCCGGGAAGAGACCTTTACGGACCTGGTCGTGCCCGTGCCAACGGAAAAGGAGGCGAAAGCCAGTGGCAGTGTGCCCACCGCACAGAAGCTTTTGGATGAGCGGCTGAAGTATGAAGACATGGATGATGATGACAATCTCGTGTTTTGCGAAGTTTGCCAGAAAAACACCCGGGCCACGAAATGGAGCGAAATTACCTCACCCCCAGCACATCTTTGCTTGTGCCTGAACCGCTTTACCTTCAACATGGAGAAGATGGACTTCACCAAAGAGAAAACTCCAGTAAAGATTGATGAGAGTTTATTTATTGGTGGCTATGAGTATGAGCTCTACCACACGATCATTCACACCGGAAAGGATGCCTCCAGTGGGCATTACTACGCCATGGGCAAGCGGTCGGAACCCACGAACAGTGGAGACACGGGATTCTACACCATGGATGATTCGCAAATCAAGCCGGCCGAAGTGTCCCTAGGTCTGTTGCCCGTTCGGCCGTCCGTTTTCGTACCGAACCGAAACGGTTTCGGTATGACGACCCGACCCGACGTGACTTGGCACCCGGGCCCCGGTCGTCCCACCGAACCTCAGGTTCGGTACCACTGGAGGCCGAACGGGTTGATGTCTTTTACTCTATGGAGTGAGAATGGGGTTTTCATGATTCATGTCTTCACTCCCGAAAACTAACATGGACCCAGGTGCGAATGGCACCCTTCCAGACGGTTTTCCTTGGTCGCTGCACCAGCGGTTTTCAGGGTCCAAGTATTCTGGTTAATTACTGATCTGACCATTGAAACGGCTTTGATCTGGACCTGATCCACAGATTTCGGGCTGAAAGAGTAGCTGCTGGGTGATGACCGTCGTGAGGATGGGACCTCGTGGGGTTTGACGGTCGTGGGTTTGAGTCAACTAAGCATACTATATGATTTCAGTGGAGGATGATATGAGTTCACAACAACAATGATATCATTGTTGTGATAGGATAGTTTCATAAGCATTTCAACTGATATGATGGGATATGATAGGATGATGGGATATGATGGGCCTCTGAAAGAACTCGGACTTTTTGGTTTCATACTTTATTGTGGCATGGTTTCTCCAAACCCAACATGGATTCAACAGTGAATGGCCACCTGCTTTCCATTTCAGAGACCGATTGCGGCGAAGTGCCCGCAACAAGGTCCTTGTTGGCCGGGAATCCACCTGAGAAGCTTCTTGATGACAATGCCTATGTCCTCTTCCTGCGATGCAAACAGGCTCCACCCACCCCAGAGCTTCGAGTTCCACTACCTTTGCTGGATTACGTCAAAGAAGAGGACAAGAAACAATGAGCCCAGCTGACCCAGGTGAGTTCAGATGATTCGAATCAGTGTTTCACTGCCTCCATCGTTTTAGTTCTTGCGAGGCCTCTTTTGGTTTGATCCAAGTCGAGGAAGAGATTCACATCCCCCATCGCAGCAAAGAGGAAAAAACTGGCGTGATGGGCCGTGTGGGCGCCGATTGTGGCTTGGGTGGTTTGGGTTGGGTTGGTTGGTGTTTGTGTGTTTGAGGATTGCCGGACTGCCGCATGGAAGGAAAGCATGCTTCAAACCGGCAGTCAAACTGGCTGATCGGCGGGACAGGGGGCAGGTGACTGGCTGTGGCGGTCATGGCACCCGGTGGCACCCGGAGGCCACTCACCCTAGAAACGCTCGACCTTCTTCGTCTGTTCATCTTCGCTCGAAGTTCGAGCAGCTTGAGCTTGGGGTCCCGAAGACAGGGGACCCACAGGTCCTGGTACGGAGACCTCTCAGAGGTCCTACCCACTGGTCCTGGTCCAACTCCGCGTTGGTACAGCGGTCAAACCCCATCCCCTTTGGGGACGGAGCCGATCACGGAAGGTTCGGCCGAACCGGCGCATAGGTGGAGGATCTGGCGGATCTTCATACCGAGTGGAGTGTGGGTATTCCCATCATCCACGTATATATGAAATAAACCCACCAGGTCCCCTGCACATATATGCTTCACCATGACCAAGACTTACTAAGTCTGATCGACGTGGAAAATCGTGCGACGCCAGGTGCGGCGAGTGCTCCCGCGCCAGCGAAGGTCCTCCATCTGGAGGAGTTGGACTAACGCACTGCGTTCGTCGCTGCGGCGGCGCGTGAGTGGCCAGCGCACAAGCTCGGTGCCGGGGTGCGAGTGGCCAGCGCACAGAGGGAACTGATGGAGAAGAGGGCCATTCACAGTTCGGACTAGACCGTGACTCTGTGGGTTGATGGAAGAGATCCATTTAAGCTGGGCCATTGGGACAGGTACGTAGAAGCTCAATGTGAGGCATCTTCTCCAAAAGCAGCTTCTCTATCATCTCGGCGCTTCATCGCCCTCGCCTTGCCTGCTTGGGGTGCAGACGAAGGCATTGGTTTGGCCACGTGAAGGCTTCGTGAAGGGTGAGCCGGTTTGGAGAGCTCAGCTTTTAAACAGATGCCACGCTGTGGTCTTCAAAAACGTCCATCCAATTCAATCGAGACACGTCCATCCTCCCTGACGCACACGTCCACAAGACAAGTGAGCTGCGCAGAGAAACATCTTTGACCCCCCTTCCGCAGCTTTGGACCAGCTTTGGTCCTCCGACCGTAGCACGCGGTTTTGGACCACCGGCGGCCCAACCGGTAGCGGCGACAGCACGCTTTTCGTCATCCGGGCAAACGAGTGACGGGGACTCGTGATGGGATCTGATTAGAGACAGGTGAGGATCTGATTCACTTTCAACAGTCTGTATAATACCAATATTCAGGGACCAATCCCTAGGTGTTGAGGGACCAAGGGCTGTTTGGAGCGCCTGGGAGCTTTCAAAAGTCTGCAAAATATCCATATTCTGCCTGTGTCCAGTTGGTAAACAAGGATGATCCCATGTCTTGAGGCCTAGAGAAATGCCACCGTCACTATCATGTACCCTCCATGTACCTCCGCCCGTCTCCCCCACCCGAAACTGATCCTGGAAACTCTGTGTTCCTTGACGACCGAACTGACAAGTGTGACCAAACTGTGACGGAACAGCTCTCCAGAAGGGTTAGAAACAAGAACAGCTCTCATGGATTGAACCCCCCCTACACTTGAGGTGCAAGTGTCTCTTGCAGCCAGAAAGCTCATAACTCTTGCTCAGTGTGGGGGCTATTGTATTTATATACATCACTTGGCATTTGCTCAGGATTCTAATGCACAGTTTTCCACAGAGCTTCTGTCATAGGTTTGACCGTCCAAGATATTGGATGTCCAATATTGGACTCTGAAGAGGCCCCCAATGTGTGAAAGAGGTAAGTGGCATCAAAGGATGAATGGTTGAAAGATGGTTTATGAACGATGATTGTTCGAGGCAGCACCAGTTTTGTGTGTGCTCAACCCAAGAAACATGGCCACGTCGCCGCATGTGGTGCCCCTGCAGTTTGTGCAGTGTGCAAAAAAGTAATTCGGGCCTTACATTAACTGCTCTAACTTCCCTTATGCGCAGGATCTCGAGTTTTGTGTTATGAGTTGGTGGAAAGACTTGTCCATCTTGTCCGCAAGTGTTCCGACAGTGTTCCTGGTCGAAACCGGATAGCCTGTTGTGCTGGCTGGGGATTCTTTGGATTGGAATCTCTTTGCGCAAAACTTTGGGCTAAGAGTAGTCCAATTCATCAAGTCGCACAAGGCCTGGGTGTCGTTTGTTGCCGTTCGCATGTCTGGGTGTCGTTAGGGGCTTGGCCGGCCAAGCTATGCTTGCATTGGTTTGTTCCAAGCAGTCGAGTGGTAGATGGAAGTGGTTTGTGTTTTCATGTGACTTGTATTCCCCAAAAAGGGGTCCACTGCCACCCCCTCAGGTACTGAGACATGAGACGGTGGAAGGCTCCAGCCGTACCGAACCTGAGGTACGGTGGCAGTGGATCCCTATTAGGGCTTGTTCATTCACATGCCCGCAATGCGGTGGAGACAGAGGTATGTGACTGAGGTATGTGACTATCACTGAGTGGTCGGATGAAGAAGGTTTAAACACTGGAGGCACTTCTGGGAATTGTCTGGAGACTCATTAGGGAGAGGACACTCAGCCAAAAACGCGCAGAAGAGGGACGTTGGATGGCGTTTGTCTTCTTGGCCATGTAGAAATTCATCTGAGTGATGGACAAGATTTCTGGCAAGGGACTCCTTTGTATTGGCCATCAGGAGCCGACCCAAGCGATTTGTGTCAATACAAATACGTGGCAAACACTACAAAGTGAGCTGATTGATGTTGTAAGCTGTCACTGACAGCACTTACTCGCAGAGTTTCGTGATTGAATTTGGATTTGTGCTGAAGATTCTTGTCCAAACTCCTTATCGTTTGAAGCAGCCAGCTGTTTTCAGCTGCCCCACCACCCGGGTGGACGGAGAGCAAAGTCCTTCGTGGCAGTCAGAGCAGTTGGAGCAAGCACCAACTTCATTGGTGGTCCATGGCCGGGTAAAGCATCAAAATCGGTTGGTTGAAAAGAACATCTGGGGACATTTAAATCATTTTAAATCAATAGTTGTTCTTTGCTCCTGAAAGACTAAAGAAATCAGGCGACCCTAAAACTAAAACTAATCTAACTGGAGTTGTTGCTGCTCGTTGGTTTATTCAAGGAGAATGATAATATATATTGGTTGCCACCCTCCAGCCCCAAAACGCACTTGAAGCCATAAAAACCCCAAAATCACATTCCTTTGGGAATTGTTGCCTCACTTCTCGAGAGAAAGAGTGGGACCACCTGGAACAGGGAAAAACCCACGGTGACATGACCCTGTAGGTTGATGATCTTGGCTGTGGTACTGTTGGGACAGAAGTCGTGTGCCAATCCGAAGATCAAATATTCAAAGACTTCGACCTCGCCACTTGCAGCATCAGCAGTTGCATCGTCACACTCCCTGAAACTGGCCTTGAAAACCGCCGAAGAGTGTTGGAAGGTGCCAGCGCGGCTGTTGAAGCACACCCGGCTCGCCGGGCGTCACGGGCTGTTGGCGTCGCGCCGCGCGGCGCCGCGACCGCGTGGTGTACCGACTTGGAAGGTGTTAAGGTGTTTGCTCTCGCGCTGTGCTGCCTGATGCCGGACGAAAACGTGGTGTGCATGGTGCGCATGGAACGAATCGAGACGGGAGAGCGCCAGCTCGGCAGACCGCAGCTGGCTGCCCGTTTGGCGCATCCGGTCGGCTCCATGTGATTGATTAGCCTGAGAATTGTGAAAAACCCATGGTTCTACTAAGGTATATTATATATATGTATATATATACATTGGGTCTGTCCTATTACCAAATTATCACTATTTTTGGACAAGACCTCTACTAATCATCATCATCCACTGTTACAGGTAGTAGGATAGACCCAATATATACCACCAGGTCCACCGTGTTTTCGACCTGAACGGAAGGCCCGGCCTTGGGACATCGATCGAAGCGAGGTTCCCGCCCGGCGCCCGCTCTCCGACCCAGCGGCCCCTCCAGGTGGTCGAAGAGTTGTCGATGGCAGCCGCAAGGCCATGGGGTCGAGAGAAGAACGAGTCTTGCTGCTGCTGCGGGACAGCTGCTGCGTGTTTTTTCGGGTAGCGGTCTGTGGAGGTTTGATGGGTGAAGTTGACCAACAGAACTGTAAGTGTATGTGCTGAGGTGTTTTTGGTGCAAGCTCCTGGACAGCCAATCCACGTTCTTTGCAGCTCCTGGCATTGGTGTCATTGCTTGTGTGCTGAGGATTTTTCTTCGCCTCAATGGGTTGATCCTTTACTTCACGCTCAGAACCTGCTGGGTGATCGTTTTTGGTCTGAAATCATTTGACTCCTACTTCCAACCCAACACTGGCTTAGCTAGCTTTCAGGTGTTTCCATGATGGTGCGGAGTTCCTGGATGCTCAGCATTGTCCAAGGGTCACACTCTATCGTCTTGACGCTCGACCTTTAGCGCTCCTCGACCAGGCGAGCATGTTGGTCTATCCCTATGGATCCACTACCACAGGGTCATTCAAAACTCTGTTGTGTAGGTTGGGAGGGGCCAGTCGTACATTCTGAGGTTCGGTACGACTGGATCCGGTATTGGATCAATCAGATCATGTTGGATTTCCCAGAAGACCCCACAGCCTGTTTTTGCAGGGCACGTGATGGACAGTCGGCCGGGCCAACCCTCGTGTTGTGGCTTTCCATCGACATTCATGCTGGGATGGAGAGCTTATCCCTATCGCGGGTGGCAAAGATCCTTATCCTGATGGGCTTTGCCGATCAATGACCATGATTCATAGTCCGAGATTTTGATGTTTCATGGTTATTCTTAGTCATATACGTAGCTTCCGCCAAGATGAACACTCAAGGGATTGCATTTGTAGAGACTCTTCCTGGGGGTTCTAGAGATGGCATGGCGGTTATCACTCACAGGAGAGTGTTTTTTGAAATGCCTCCAACAGACATGGAAGTGCTGGTATGGACCCTGCTGGCACTTTGTTAGCTATATGGGAACACCCTATACACTTCAATCGTTTTCCACCAGACCCGACATGTCGC